TTCAAATAATCATGCAAGAAAATCTAAAATTCCAACACCATGCTGTGCGGAAGGTATTCTGCACATGCATTTTTGATTCTGCTGTCTGTACAGTATCTCTTTCTTAAATGCCTAGATAGTTGTTCTGAACTTGAAGAAAAGGTATTAGGGATGCATGAGTCAAAGGAAATTTAGAGCAAGAGAAAGAATTAAGATAATGGAAATAAGTAACATAGATAGTTTTTAAGTTTCAGAACAGGCATTCGAGCTGAGTGACTAATTCATAACCAACAATTTAAACAAATTTAACCTTCTTCTGAATGTTAAACTGCCTGTGAACAGGCTGTGATTTGCTTGGATTTGGTATTCAAATATATTTGATTAAATTTTTCACAGATCATTTATTCTACAGCTTTCTCTCCAGAATTCAAACTGCTTAGTTGTGACTAGTCAAATAAGTCACATGGTATATTTTATTCCCTGAATGGATTAATGGAACTCATTCAGGTTTCTGGTGCTAATGCTCATGGAAAGAGAATAAGTTTCTTCCATGAGAATTTGAGAGAGTGATCCTAAATTTGCTTTTAGCAAACATTTTTGAGAGTAAAAGTTCATGGAAAGCAACGACGTAACACAGTTGGCAACTTTCACGCAGTAAATAGGCACCCCGACTTTCACAATAAGCCTAAAATCAAGATAATCCCAATTTCAAAACAAGGCCAAAACAAGCCAATCCCTAAGAACCTCAACACTCTATGTGACTAAATCCCCCCGGCGTGCAGTCTGGGATTTTGGTGGGCCCACTATGCACCCCTGACTCTCTCCCCCACCCCACCAGTCCCTGCTTGCTGCCCCTTACCCCTGCTTGCCGGGAGCCAATCCAAAAAAAAAAAAAAAAAAAGCAGCACACAAGCTACAAGCCAAAAACTATCCAACAAGCAACTCATAAGCCAATTAAGCCAAAAACAAGCCCAATTTCTGCATTTTTTCCCACAGGTTTGGCATGTCTGCCCATAAACTGTTGAGAGGAAGGACGGTCTTGTGATTAGGGCATTGGAAAAGGAATCTGGAGCCCTAAATTGCATTCCCAGCTCTGCCACAGACTTTTTGGGCAAGTTTCTCATTATGCCTTAAAAAATTCCAGATCTGTAAAATGGGGATAATACTTCCTTTCTCCCACCCTTTGTCTCTCTTATCTAGATTGTAAGCACTTTGGCAACTGTCTCAGCAGGTGTTTATAAAGAGCCTAAGACAGCAGAGTCACAATCTCAGTTCAAGCTCTTGCTGTAGTTATAAATAATAAAGGTAAAGCAAACTTTTAGAGAACCACAAAATTCTCAAATTATTTTTGCAGCATTCACCCAATTCTACTTCCAACCCATAAGAGATAATGCAAAAAAAAAAAAAAGATCTTTAACAATCTCACTGGAAAACAAAGGAATGATTCAGATACAGATTAATGTGGTGTGCATTATAGTTTGTTTCATTTCCCCATGGTTACATAATTTTCAAGTTTATACTTCACATTTTCTCATATCAATCTCTCCTTTTCCTATTTTCAAAAAAATTCTGGCATGTTGAACGGAGCTTAACACTAATATGGCTGTTTTTCACTATAAAAATATCTTCCACCTATTGAGCACCTGGCCAGGCCAAAAGATTGTTGTTGTTTGCACAACTGTATCATTTACGTTGGCAACTCAGGTTCCAACCATCTTTGGTTAAACCTTCAGTAGGTAAAGCAAGAGTCAGATCCACGAAAACACATTAGTTACTTAGGCTCTTTCAATGTCTCCATTATGCATCAATTATTTCTAAACAGCAGCATGTCTCTTCCCACCAAAATACTTAGATTGGGAGCAACATTTAATTGTATTAGTTGGGCCAAAGACAATCTGAAGAAGCTCAATTTGGCAGAACTAGTTAATTCATAAACCCATCACCTCTTCCGGTCTGAGCCCAGAATTGGGCTTAGATCACAAATGAAATGAGTTTTGGGGTCTTTAGCAGGTGCCAATGCCTACCATAGATTCCAGCATGATTCAACAAGATTTGTCAGGAAATCTAAGGACTAGTATAGAAGAAATAATGCTGGTTTGGACTTAGGGATATTAACAGACTCCAGCTAGTGCCATCAGTAGCTAATTTTTTTTTATGAGAACTACAGTTTTTTGGTTTTGTTTTCTTAAAGATGGAAGACCGCAAAACTGATGTGTATATTTTTAATTGTTAGATGCCACTGTCTGAGCGAATATGTAATTATAACAGTTTGCACTATAGTTTCTTCAGGAGTTGCCAGTGCTAGAGTTTGTTTCTTCCCCCCCAACTTTGTTCTCTTTTAATTCCATCTAAATGCAAAGAATTTACTAAAACAACCAACTGTAAATAATATAAAGTATTAAACACACATTCCTTAACAATATTGACATAAAAGTTACAAATCACTTGCATGCCCTAAAGACAGCTCAGTGCAAGCTATTGCATAGCTGTCCTTAGGGATTCTTTTCACTACTCTTCAGAGGATTCTAAATTTTTGGTGAAGATACTATCAAGAAAAGTTGCAAAATCTGTACAGGTGCAAGCTAACAAAATAGGATTATGTATAAACATCAGACGTAAAAATTGTTAGATTACCGAAGTTCTCACAAGACTTTTATGATTAAAAATGGAGACTATTGTAATCATCAGAATAGCAGAGAAGAAAATCTGACAAGCCTAATTATGTTTAACAAGCATGCCACACATAATGAGAGCATGTCCTGGCATCTCAAGAAAAGTAAACAGAATACCTTTTGCTATGTTATCACCTTCATTTTACAAAGCAATCCAGCATTCATGCCTGACACACACAGTCTCTCTCATGTATGGTACAGGCTGGCTATGTTCCCCCCCAAGTTATTTAGTTAGTTACTAAGTGAAATTATATCTCTTGGCTGAAATTCACATGCCGGAGTCTTGCAAGATCAATGAATTAATAGTTATTTTATTCTAGGACTTTTTTTTAAACTTTTGGTTAATTTTGTAAGAATTTTAAAATATGCTAAACTAATTTCTTGCACAGTTGAGAAAAGAAATCTACCTCAAAGGTTGGAATGAACTCATTCCATGTATCTCTTACTCTCGTACAGGGTTAATTACATTAATATGCCCCACACTTTTCTTTCACACTCCAAATTAAGTGTCTCAGATATTGATTTCATTTAGATTGAAACATCCAGTTTAATGTGCCTTAAATGCCAAATGATCAAGCTCATCTGAGGCTTAACGTTCAAAAAATGTCCACTTTACAGCAGTGGCTCTCAGCCTTTCCAGACGACCGTACCCCTTTCAGGGACCTGATTTGTCTTGTGTATCATAAAGTTTCACCTCACTTAAAAACTACTTGCTTCCAAAATCTGACAAACGTACAAAAATGTGCCACAACACACTGCCAAGCAATTTTTCAGTATTTCTCATTGGTACCATATAATTATAAAAGAAATCAATTGGAATAGAAGTATTGCACTTTCAATGTATAGTACACAGAGCAGTATAAACCAATCATTATATGAAATTTTAGTTTGTACTGACTTCGCTAGGGCTTTTTATGTAGCCTGTTGTAAAATTAGGCCAATATCTAGATGAGTTGATGTGCCCCCTGGAAGACCTCTGTGTATCCGCAGGGGCACGGGTACCCTGGTGGAGAGCCACTGTTTTACACTTTCACCTGCGGAAATGTGCCAGAAATAATATCATTTACTGTGTTTTATTTTTTATTTAACCTCAATACAGATTGGGTGTGAACAGCTATTGGGCAATCACCACAGAACACCTGCCATTCACTTGTACATTAAGAGAGATCTCATTTCCCGCAATCGAAGTGGAACCGCATCACACCACTCAACCAGCATGTCAAGCCAGGTTTAGGACCACCGTAACTAGCCCTACGCTTCAGTGTTGTTAAAGTGCCATTTGCTTTCCACTGACTGAAACCTAGCCAACCGCATGGATAAAACGTAGCTAGAAAACAGCGGGTTTTGAAGCGCAAACGAGCCCATTTAATCTACTCTCAAACCGTGCAGCAGATGTTTGCCTTAAAAATATTCCTCTAAATGGACGGTCCGTATAGATATCGCCCTTTCTGGCCCCCATCTCTCCCGGCACTATTGATCCACACAAACAGGCCAGATACTTTTCAAGTTCAGAAGACGGCAGCATGTGCGTTTCAGAGGGAAACCGCCAGCACACAAGGGGGGCGGGGGACACTGCTACCAAATCAAGGCGCATGAGGAGGTTCTTTCGGCTCAGCCTGCCCTGGCTTGGGCACCGAATGCTCTTATGGACACAGTGCCCGGGGCGGGGGGGTCCGCTTCTCCCAATGGCTCAGCTGCAACACCTGGCATGAACCTGACAGCAGGGAAGGGAGCTCCCAGAAGCTGCCCCGAAGACCCGGGCCCCGGCTGCCCAAAACACTCACGTGGCCGCTTCTAGGGACCCCCCCCCCGCGCTCCCCCACTGCCTTCCCCCTGGGAGATGCAGATCCCCTGCGAGGAAAGACCGACCCAGCTCGCCCCGCAGCTTGCGCCTTTGAAAGCCGAACTCTCCCGGGCGCTGAAAGCGGCGCAGCCCGGGGGCCCCTCTCGCCCGAGCTGACGTGCCGCTGTGTTAGGGCGCAGGGACACCGCAAGAGCCTCCCCCCGCCTCCAGCTGCTCTTTGCCTAGGCTGCAAAACCCCGCCGCTGCCCGGGGGCTCCCTGCCCGGCCGGCTCGGGGGCGCTGGAGGCGTGGCCCCGGCGCGGGCTGAGGCAGAGCCGGAGAAGGGGAGAAGTGGGGTCATGAGGAGGCAGCGGGGCCGTGCAAAGCGGGGGGGGGTGCGCGGGTGCGACTCGCAGCGCCCTCACTTCTGCGGCGCTTTGCACCAGTCCAGGGGCCGGGCGAGGGTCGCACAAGCCGCTCGTGCAGCATCTGGGAGCCCCGAGCGCCGCCGCTCCCCCGAGCCCCGTCCCCGCAGCGCGCCCCGCGGGCAGGGGCTTCGGACTCACATCCAGGATCACCGAGGTGCCTTTCCGCTGCCCCGGGGGAAGAAGCCCTGGCCGGCGGCTGCCGGCCCCTCCTGCAGGAGCTCCCTGTCGGAGAGGATGCTCTTGTCGCTCATCTTGGTGACTATCCAGCGGAGCAGCCCGTCCAGTCCCCTGATCTGCGGCTGCTGTTTGTGGAGGATCTTGTGGACGCTCTCCCTGCAATAGCGCGCTGCCTGCTCACACATCTTTCACACAGTCCTCATGCTGGAGCCGGGGGTATTCCCTCCCACACAGGCTGCATCACCCCTGACAGCTGCTCGCTGGCACCGCTGCAAACCCCACCCTGCACACTCTCACGGGAGGGGAGCAGCCAGGGGCGGATCCAAGGGGCCACACGGGGGTGGGGGGAAGCGGCTTTGTGCTAAATAATAAACGATGCAGCCCTCTGCTCACAGCCCCCCAGCTCCTGCTAAACCCCACTCAGAACCCAAGAGTCCCGGCTCCCAGCTCCCATCACTAGACCCCACTCCTCTGCCACAACCAGGGTTAGAACCCAGGAGTCCCGGCTCCCAGCTCCAATCACTAAACCCCACTCCTCTGCCACAACCAGGGTTAGAACCCAGGAGTCCTGGCTCCCAGCTCCAATCTCTCCCACTCCCCTTCCACAACCAGGGTTAGAACCCAGGAGTCCTGGCTCCCAGCTCCAATCACTCCCACTCCCCTTCCACAACCAGGGTTAGAACCCAGGAGTCCTGGCTCCCAGCTCCAATCACTCCCACTCCCCTTCCACAACCAGGGTTAGAACCCAGGAGTCTAGGCTCCCAGCTCTAATCACTAGACCCACTCCTCTTCCACTACAAGGATTGGAACCCACCGGTCCTGACTCATGTCAGGACCAAATTGGAATGAATGATGGTGTGACCTGGCACACAGGATCACAATGCCACTCACATTTGGCCCATTTTGGTTGCGTGGCTGCCGATGAAGCTAGAACCTCTCTCACGCACAAGCTGCTGGAAATGCCTCTACTTGGTCTCCATCTGTCAAGGCTGATTCCCCACTCTGGCACTTTGAGTGCAGAAGGTGGGGGCCCACAAGGATTTTTAAAAATTAATATTTGACACTCCAGGCTTGTATTAAACTCCCAAGGTTGCAGCTTTTCTCTGACCTTGGCTTGGTAAACACCGCCATCACCCAAATGCAAAACCGCTTTTTTTGGAACCCAGGAAGGCACACTTGGGAATTCCTTGCTGTAGGGTGCCCTCAAGCCCTTTCACTCACACCCTCCCTTCAGGGGAAGAGCTGAGAAAGAAAACAAAGGAAATTAGCTATTGCCACCAGCTAAACAAACAACATACGCACAAACCTCTTAGGACACCAAAAATCCAACAACAGACACAAAGGGGAAGTTTTTTCCCCATTTTAAAAAGTTCTAGCCTTCCCATTGACTCTTTTGGTCAGGTGCCCACTCCCTTTCCTTTACCTGGGGGGACTTTGTTAGCCCTTTACAGGTAAAGCAAGCAGAGAACAGCCACCAAGAGGGTCTTTATAGATAACAGGCTGGCTGGGTGTCCATAAAAGGGAGCTACCCTCCCCCCTTCACTTATCACACCATCATTACCATGTCAGACCAAAAATTTGAACCCCTGCTTATGTAGGACAGCCCAGAATACAACCTACCTCCACCACCCCACCAAAAGCCCTCACAAAACCAGCCAGCTGATTCCACTTGGCTCTTTCTAGAGCTGCTGAACTAACTGCATGGCTCAACTAGACAAATATTCCTAATCCTATCATTCATCTTGTAAAAAGACATGCTTTGTGCCGTTTACATCCACAGACCAAGAGTATTATTTATAATATTTATAAATCCTTGTGTCAAAGTGCCATAGCCCACTTTATCTTCCCTCTGAGCACTCTCTGCACACACACAAAATACACACAAATTGGAAGGACAATAATGGAGAAAATTAAGACTAGAGATAGAGCCAAGCAGCAAAGTGCAGATCCAGACCCTCTCAAAGTAGACCTCAGGGAGTCATCTCTAATTAGAAGTGTATTGTTTGTGCTGCTTTGTGTACTGACCCAGACTGTGTTTTGATGTCAATTCCAGTGAACTTTGTTTTATTTGGTTAATAGTACGTCAATATGCAGTTTCAAAATGATCTGGCATTATAGATATACATAAATCATATAAATATGCATATATATTTTAAATATTAATGGTGTCCTCAAGGCTACCTCCTTCCATGTTACAAGATATCTTGCTCGTAGCTGGCTGAGTTAAGACAGAGCTAGGCTTTGCTTCATGATCCTCTAAGACTGGGGAGCTCCAAAACCTTTTAATAGCATGGACCACATCTTAATAGAAATGTCATGCTTTTCCATAGCATGGACCACCTCCCCTCCAGTTTGTATATGCAGGGACCACCTACATCAAACACTTGTGGCAGCTACTGCAGTTGCTTGCGTGGAAGAGTAATATTAGGAAAGTGTGTATTTTTAAACAGCTGTAATGCAACTTCATAGCTGGAAGGAAAGAAGCCACCCAGCAGTATATGACTAACCAGTTCTCCATAAACCACCAAGGAGTGGAGAGCATTAGTGGTCCACAGAGCACGATTTTGGAACCATTGTTTGGAACCACTGGCCTTAAGCAACTAGGATAATATGAACATGCCAAACTTTCTCTGAAGGTACTTGGCTAGCCATCCTCTAGGCGGTCGTCAGTGCAACCTTAATCCTTATGTTAAAGTCAGGCTCCCACTGAAGTAGACGGCAGCTGTCTTGGACTTTAGTGAGGAGCAAGATTGGGTTCCTTGGTAAAAATTTCATTGCTAAGCTTCTATGCTGAGCCCTGCACCCCTACCCACTTAGAGAGTCACAGTGTGTTATAGTCCAAAATACCATAAGAACAGCCATACGGGGGTCCATCTGGACCAGTATCCTGTTTTCTGACAGTGGCCAATGCCAGCTACTTCAGAGGGAATGAACAGAACAGGTAATCATCAAGCGATCCATCCTCTGCACAACAGGTCCTATCAGACCTGCACATTAATTGCTCTTTCCTTCTCTCCCTTATCCTTTATTATTATTATAATGGGAGCTCCTGTGTAGGATTGTACAGTTTATCTACACCAGTGCAGCTACCCAAGAGCAAATCCAAGGTGTAGACTTGCAGAACTCCACTTCATTCTTGCTGCATCTTTTCCTTGTTCGAGTGAACCAGGAAGAAACTTTTTATTGTTTCATTTCAGAAGCGTAGGTGCTCAGCTGCTGCTTGAAGACAAGTGATTGCAAGCTCAGTTCTCTCTGCTGGAATAAGCATATAATGGCTCTGGGCTCTGAAAATGTTTTATAAATAGAGCACACAAAGGCTGGCGGTGGGATACTGCTTTCATCCTCACTACCCCTCATTTAGGTAGTACTTTGCTGCAGTATTTACTTTTTTCCCCAGCAGCTCAAAATTAAAAAGTTGAAAAGCTGCAGGGATTTTATGGTGGTTTATTGAAACTGCATGCAGTGTGCTAACTGGGCTGTGTTCACTTATGGTGAAATTCATTCCTCTGAGAGGACCAGCACGAGGCCGACACACCACCACCTACAGCCTACGTAAGCCTTATAGCAAAGAGACCATAAGATAAGGCATAAGGTTTATATCTTAAACTTTCTTTGCACAAGGCTTAAATGTGACTTAAGTGATGCACAGGCCTTCTCCTGGCACTCTCCAAAGCAGTGAATTTCTCCCATAGAAAATAGCTGTGGTATGGAATTCAATTGGCTGCATTGCCCATTCTGGGTGGAGTGGAGAGTAGATTATGGAAGTTGGAGCATGAAAAGATCTATTTGGTCAAATCCAACCCTCCTTGTTAGTGGAGAATTGTCCCACTTTTTTGGCAGTCTAGTTTTAAAATGTGCCAAGAGATGTGACACGTCTCGAGAGAGATTATTCCACAGCTCAGTAGATTGTGCCATGGTGATAAATACCAGAAATTTCTCCATATACCTAATTATACCCCCTTGTACACTACATGATTCCACTCTTTCCTTGGTATTTACTTGCTCCAAATATTCATACGCTTATCCTTCCCCTTTAGCCATCCCTTAGAAATGCCATCTCTGCTAAATACATATGTGAATAATTCAGTCAATTCATTATCCTATTTCCCATTTCCAGTTTATGATGGTCTCTCATTTACTTATTATTCAAAATTGTTCAAGGAATAAATTTACAAATAATGTTTTTCTGTGCCTTTTCCTAACAATTTGTTATCAGTATTCACATTGGAAACTTTGGGCTCTGTATACAACATGTGGAAAAATAACACTTCCAACATAACATGTTAGAAAAAATATTTCAATGATATGAAGTGACATTAGGAAAACACTGGCAATTTCCACAGGGCAGTTAAATTTAGCTGGGGGCCAATTTATTTTTCACATAGAGTGCTGATGGGAGCGTTGAATTAGGGAGGGAAATAAAGTATATATAACCAATGGCTAAATGGCAAAAGGCAGGGAATTCAAAGTGAAGTTAGACACTAGACAGCTATATTTCCCAATGGGTTCCAGGATAGTTAGCCAAACAGCTCCCATAAAAGTTAACATGGGTATGTGGCTACATCCACATACTCTTTGGAACGCTAGGCAGTGATCTCTTCTTCCTTCCTGCTGTTGTCAGAAGAATAATATAGAAGAAATATAAAATGGCCAATGAACCCTAACACAAACTGCCCTAGCTATTAACTGTTTCATTGCTAATGCATCCTACACAAATATCTTTGTCATGGAAGCATTACCTTGATGTTTCAATAATTATCTGATCTCACAGCAGATATTTGATGTGCCTACTATAATGCACCTGACAGTGCATTTTGCCTGCTTTACAGTACCTGGCACTTTAACAAGAAAGCAGTTTCTTTTCTCTTGAGATACCAACATGCAGGAGAGGGGTACCTGATATACTTTTCGTTTTTTCACCAGAGGAGCAGAGAGCAATATTATTGACAGCTGCCGCTTGCTTTGAAAGCTTAATGGATGGAGAGTACCACTTAATTGGAAATAAAACAGAATAAAAAGCAGGATAAAATCTTCCAACAGACCAGCCTCCTGTAGCCAGCATGCATTTCAATGAAATTAGCAAAATGTTAATTATAGACCTAGGCAGAACCAGCAAGATGCACAGAACTGATTTCAGCCTGATGGACCCTGCTCTTACGCCAGCCAACTCTAGAGTCCTCATGGAGGTTTTTAATAGCTATTCCACTCCTGCGGCATCCTGTAAGTTATTGCAATCAATTATGAGACCACAGGACCTGCAGTAAACCAAAAGTAGCAAAAACCAAAATATAGCGATGCCTGCTCTGCTTCTTAGGTTAGC